TCAGCCCCGCTGCCAAAGCAGAAGCCATAATTGGTCTGTGCTGGTTTCAAGGTTGTTTATTCTGTTTATCTCTAACATGTTCTGCTGCCCTGCCGCAGCTCTGTCCTGCAGGGCAGCGTGTGGGGCTCTGCCCTCAGTGGGATGGTACAAACATTAAATACCACAAACTACCTGTGCTGGATTTACAATAACGTGCCAATATCTGTCACCTACGTTGGACAGTGTGTCCCCAGCCTGAACCAACAGAAAAATGCCAACACCACAGTGAAACGTGGAGGGCATGAAGGAGGAGGAAAAGGACAAGACACCCCAATTTCCTCCATCTTGTCCCCTTTGAACCCCTAATCTAGAATCTTAAAATTTTACTTTTGCACCCGTGTCACACTTAATTATTACTCATATCAAACACTCAGAGATTGTAATTCATCCTGTAAGACTGAAAACTCTTTTCCATGGGCAGAGATCACAGACAGTGTCTCTGGGGGCTCTGTCCAGGGGGGTTCCTGACCCCTGCCAGGGTCCCAGACCTGCCAGGGCAGCCAGAGGGAAACCCTGGATTCCCACACTAAATGACCAATGAAATCTACCTGGATCGGAACAGTTTCTAAAAAGGAGCAGTTCCAAATACATGGTGCACAATATACCTATAACCTTCTGATGAGTCTGTCATTTCTTACTCGATAGCAACACACAGCAGCCTGACTTCATCCCTCGGCCATCTCTGCTGATGGAAAGCTGAGTCCTCCATGGGCCAGCTCCAGTGTGGCAGGAGGGTGCCCGTGCCAGGCTCTGCAGTGGCCAGGCAGGGGCAGCAGCCGGCCGTGCTAGCGCTGCTGCTGCCGCTCTGAGCCACAGCAGAGTGACAGCTTCACTGCCGGCACGGCAGCTCCCAGCTCTTGGCAAGTGCAGACACCCTGGGAAGCGGCTCCAGGAGCTCTGCTGCCCTTCCCCTCCCAGGGAGGACGGAAGGGAGCAGGGCTGCTGTCCCCTCAGAGCCCCTGGCTGTGATGGGAGCAGCTTGTGCAGCGCCCATGGAGCGACAGGCAAACGTATCAGCAGTCTAGAGAGGGGCTAAAAAGAGGAGCAAAAGGAAATTCTGCTCTGAAGGTCACCAAATCCCCCTGTGACTGCTCCTCTGTGGGGTGTGGCCTGCAGCGACCCATGCTGGGGTCTGGTGACTTGGGGTGTCAGTGCATGAAGCGTGTCCATGTTCCATGTCCCTCTGAGCCCACAGCAAAAAGCCAGCACACACCTTCAGCCTTCACTCCTCAAGTGCAACACCTTCTCCTGCTCTCTTTGGGCTTCAGGCTGCCTCAGGTGCTGCTTTCAGCTGCCCCACTTGCAGTGGAGTGCAGTCCTATGTCCCTGCACTCTGCCCCCTCTTCCCACACACTGATCCCTCAGGAGGGGCCTGCCTCATGTCCCACCCGCTCCCCAAACTGAGCTCCACAGCCCACAGTGCTGGCCAAGCACACAGCCATAGCCCTTGGTGGCAGCGGGCTCACAGCCCCAGCAGCCCTGCGAGAGCCCCAGAGCTGCCACCCGCTGCCTGCAGGTGAGCCAGAGCACACTGCAGTGGGCAGGATCAGCTCCTGAGCTTGCACTTCCCTTCCCTCAGCCCTTCCTGGCAGGGAGGGGACTGCAGACCAAGGCTGTGTGATCCCTCCTCTTGGACAATCCACAGCAAGGACCTGGCAGCCCTTCCTGCAGTATGGCATGGGTAGTGACATGGGCACGGCCCATGGCAGCCCAAGGAATTTCCTCCCCATGAACTGCTGCCAGACACAAGGCTGCTAGGGAGCACTGGAGAGGCTGTTCTTGCAGCCCTGGGCAGGTGTGAAGCAGAGCTCCTCAGGGAAATCCCATCCCTGCTCCCACAGGGATCAGCAGCAAAGCATTTGCAGGAGCACAGCGGGGCCATAACTCCGTCCCTAAAAAGCCTCCAACCACTGGGGTGCACTTGTCAGCCCCGCAGGCATCTCTCTCAGAAGGATGTCACTGGGAATGACAAAAATGGAAGGAATTATCCTGAGTTTTTCATGTAAGCAGCACATCAGAGGCATCTGGCAGTGCCAAGGCAGTCCCAGAGCTGCTTCCAGTGTTTCAAGGCCTGTTGGGTGGGCTCCACATTAACTCCTCCACCCTCCTTGTTTCCCAGGGGCAAGGATTTGAGAGCAGCTCCTGTTTTCTGGGCCCACATGCACTGAAGTTATCCTGAGTGATGCTGGCCTGGCTTGAGGTGACTGGGTGTGAAAAGGCTCATTGAGGCAGCTGCCAAAACAGCCACACTTCAGCTGCTTTCCTGCTCGCTGGGTGGAAGGAAATGGGAAAAGCAGTGATGGATCAAACACAGCATGACATCAGGCAGCACCCTGAGTCAGGCTGAATCACACTGTCCCCCACGCTGTGTGTGCAGGAGGGAAGAGCAGCCCTGGGATCCAGGGTTACCCTCCAGGTTCACCGAGGCCAGGCTGGAGGAGAGGGGCTCCACAGGACAGGAGCAGTGGGAAGGGGCAGAGGGCAGAAATAAACCCACTGCAGGGGTGGGAGAGATGGAGGTGTTTCACTCAGGTGTTTAATTGCTCCAGTGGTGCAGTGAAGGATCAGATGCTTGGCTAAGTAATCATCGCAGGGGAACCACACAGGAGCACAAGGACTTAGGGTGGGCATTCAGCACAGAGCTGGTCACCCCCCAGCATCCTTTCCATGCTTCCCTGGTTTCACCCCCATGGTCCCAGTTGGGCTGGCAACAAGCATCAGCCTGGAGAACCCCACAGCATAAATTGGAAAGTAACCCTGAGGCAGCAAAGGCAGCAAGAAGGCAGCTGGGAGGTGCCTGTGTCTGCCAGCAGCTCACCGGACCTTCCTACAGGGCAGAGCCCTGTCACTCAGCAAGGAGGCAGGAGACCAGAGGGAGCACAAACCACATCTCACCCCTCCATGACTCCAGCTGCCTTAGCAAGGATCCAAGGTGCCTCCAGAAGCCACAATAATGAGGGCAATTAGCGCAGTACAAACGAAAATTTCCAATAGCGGCACTCTGCAGATTTTTTTACCTTGATCTGAAGCAGCTGAGGTACAAAGGCAGGGGTTTTGGGAAGGCTCTGAAGGCTGGTCCCAGCCCTGCTGAGGGGACAGACTGGCCTGAAGGTCACCAAGCTGTGCCACGGTGGGAAGGCTGACAGGCAGGGGAAGGCCGGCCCTGGGGACCCCTCTGTCAAGGGGCTGTGCATTGGCACAAGTCTCCCTCTGCTCCTTGCTGGCCTGGGCTGGACCCACTTTCCCTGGCCCATGGAGGGGTTTTCCAGCATAGCCAAACCCTCTGCTCTGGCCTGGAGCCTCAGAGTAGGTTCATCCACTCTCCACGTACCCTGCAGCACCCCAGCATGAGCCCCAGACATCTCCCTGTTCCCGCTTCCCAAACGTTTCCCTTATCAAGTGGCTTTGGAAGGATCCTGTGCCTCTGCTGCACAAATCTGTCCCTCCCTGCTGGCCCTCCTGTCCTCCCCATTCTCATATTTGCAGAATCACTAAATTCACAGCTATGGAACTCCAGGTACTCTGTGCTCCCTCCTCCAGGCCATCCCAAGGGTGTGTCACTGTGTCCCCACACCCTCCCCGGTGAGCCAGTGTCCCGCTGTCCTCTCACCTGTGCTGGTTTCAGCTGCTCTCTGAGGTTCTGCCACACCGAGAACTAGCACTTTCCATTCCCAACGCAGCTCAGAGGATGCAAAACTCCCCAGCCAGTGTCTTTGTCTTTGGAGGAGGAGCACAGCTTTTTGTTCTGGAAACAAAAAGAACCACTCCACTGATCCATACCTGCTCTTGCTTTTGTTATTCTTCAGTACCTGTCCCTCCCTTTGGAAACCTCGGAGCCAGGAGCCTCATCAGCTGCTCTGTGCAAACACACTTTGCTTTGTGCTGGCTGTCTGAACACAGAGCCAGGAGAGAGAGAGGCCAGCAGCTCCTGGTGGATCAGCTGTTGCCAACACATGTGGCCCAGGTAGAACCTGTGATTTATTTAATATGTACAGTTACAATAATTTCATTTTGGAATCAGCCTCATGAGACAGGTATGAACAAAACGGTAACATTTGGAGGAGGAGAATTCCTGATTTGTGCTCAGACAGAAGAAATTCTCCTTCTTTGCTACCTTGGCAATAACACAATGAGGGAGAAAAACAAAATCCTTCACATTCCCAACTCCCTCCTCTTCAACAGCACCAACATATATTTTGAAGAGCCTCAGTGCAGGTTTTTACTGCAGAAAATAAAGAATGAATTGTGTCCCCCACAAACAGCAGCAAGAGAAACAACCTGACTGCCTCCAGCCTCAGCGCTCACTTCCTGCTTGCTGAGCCTTCTGGCTTGACCAAGCCACAGCACAAACGTATTTGGCACCAGCCAACCCCTTCATTGCTGAAGGACACATCCAAGACCTGCACATCTTGAATTCCAGGATCTCCTGCAGCCCCTGCTTAGCCGGGCAGGGGGAGCTTGGCTGGACCGGGATCGCTGGAACGCCCTTCCCCAGCCCCCTGCACTGCCAGGGCGGCACAAGGAGCCAGAGCAGGCCCAGAGACAGCTCTTAACGCGTTCAAACAGCAAATTAGAGACTGTGATAAACGACTGCTCACTTTAAAAGTTACAAATACAACAAAGGCCAGCACAAGTAAAGAGCACCACGGACACCGTGACCGCAGCACAGCCCCGGCCCCCACACGGCCGCTCCGCCCCTCACAGCGCGGCGGGCGCCCAGCCCTGGCCCCGCCCACGCCTGTCAGTCAGCGCCTCCCTGCCGCCCATTGGTGGAGAGCATTTCCCGCCAGTTGATTGGCGGGCAGCTGTTGCCATGCCACGCCCCCAGCAATGGCGGCGGGCCCGCGCAGGGCCGCCCTCATACCGCGGTGTCCGTGAGGGAGGGCGGTGTCCAACAGCGAACTGCGGGAACGCGGCTGTACAGCAGCGGAACTTCACAGAGCGTATGTTATAAATTATGACACGGGACCAATTTGTGTCACTTTATAAAGAGAATTTTATTAATTTAGCAAGCAAGCAGTACGGGCAAATGCAGCGCTGGGCGGCCGGGGAGCCTCTGCTCCCCACAACGGCTCGCCCCGCACCTCCCGGTCTTTCAGTTCTTATACCCCTTCAGTTCCGGACTTTGTTACACTCTCGACGTGCTCTGCATCTGCACGGCGTGTTGCTAGGGGTCTTTTTTCTGCTGTCTGGTGGTCGTTTGAGGAAAGCTCCTATTCTTCTTCCTCCGAGGTAGCGTTAACCCTGCAATAACTTCTCCAAATATGGAAACGCAGCCTTCAAAGATCTCTCAATTCCACTGTCTACTAATAGCAGTACATCCTGCCCTCCTGCCCCACTGTTTCCTGTGACTTACACAATCCCTGGGACTTTTCCTGATGAACAAAAACTATGCTATTGTCTTTCACGGCATACATGCCATATCCGTTCCTTACCTGCGAAAGCCAGTCATCACGTTACCCATCTATAACCCAGACCCAAAGGCCTCACGTATGTTTCTCTCCTGCAGGAGAAGCCAAAGCCCCTGGGTGTCATTAGCAAGTGGCTGCAGGGCTGAGGGACAGCTCAGGGGCCGCGTCTGAGCTGCTGCTCCCGGGTCTGTCCCTCAGCAGGAGCTGGCTCCTGTGGGGCTGTGGGGAAGGAGCTTCCTGCCAGGGTCACACCCCACATGAGGCTGCACTGCTGGGGGACAGCCTGATGGACTGCTGGGTGACAGCCTGTTGGCCATGCTGGGTGACAATCTGATGGACTGCTGGGTGACAGCCTGTTAGCCATGCTGGGTGACAGCCTGTTGGCCATGCTGGGTGACAGCCCGATGGCCATGATGGGTGACAACCTGATGGACTGCTGGGTGACAGCCTGATGGCCCTGCTGGGTCACAGCCTGTTGGCCATGATGGGTGACAACCTGATGGACTGCTGGGTGACAGCCTGATGGACTGCTGGGTCACAGCCTGTTGGCCATGCTGGGTGACAGCCAGATGGACTGCTGGGTGACAACCTGTTGGCCATGCTGGGTCACAGCCTGTTGGCCATGCTGGGTCACAGCCTGTTGGCCATGCTGGGTGACAGCCTGATGGCCCTGCTGGGTGACAACCTGTTGGCCATGCTGGGTCACAGCCTGTTGGCCATGCTGGGTGACAGCCTGATGGCCCTGCTGGGTGACAACCTGTTGGCCATGCTGGGTCACAGCCTGTTGGCCATGCTGGGTCACAGCCTGTTGGCTGTGCTGGGTGACAGCCTGATGGACTGCTGGGTCACAGCCTGTTAGCCATGCTGGGTCACAGCCCAATGCACTGCTGGGTGACAGCCTGTTGGCCATGCTGGGTCACAGCCTGTTGGCCATGCTGGGTCACAGCCTGTTGGCCATGCTGGGTGACAGCCTGATGGACCTGCTGGGTGACAGCCTGTTGGCCATGCTGGGTGACAGCCTGATGGCCATGCTGGGTCACAGCCCGATGGCCTTGCTGCACCCCTTGTGCCTGTGACACCCCGCCATGTCCAGGAGCAGCCCGAGGTTGGCCCCAAGCAGTGATGTCTCTGTGGGGACCCAGCCCCTGCATGAGCCTAGGGACAGCACAGGCACCCCTGTGCAGCCTGCGGGAGCCCTACTCAAGCCAGCCAAAGAGGAGGTGTCCATGTTCTCTGGTGCCCTGGGCATGCAGGGGAAGCCCTGGACTGGGATTTTCCTGCTCTCAGCATTCTCCAGAGAGCTCCAGGGCCCCCTGAGGGCCCCCCACAGCACTGCCCTGGGTGTATTGTTCTGCTGCCTGGGTGTATTGTTAGAGCAAATGAAGAAACAAGGACAGCAAACCACGATTCACTCAAACTCATGCAGTAGATTGGGGTAAATACTGCCCTGAGGTGTTTTCTCCTTGGATCATGTCACTCGTTTTTCAATCCATCAGCCCTGTGTGTTTTGCAGTCTTTCAAATGCTCGCCTGACCCGCAGAGAGGGAATCCAGCTGTACCCAGGGCTCACGTGGTTGCTTCACTCCTTGCTGGGGGCTGTGAGCTCCATCCCTAACCTGAGCCACAGTTTGGCCTCTTCCAGACCAAAAGTCTCCACTCCTTGAAGCCAGGAACCTGTGTCCTTGGGTGAAGAGGATCAGGAAAGGACAAGGTGGGGAAAAATACGAGCGGTGAGCTCAGCACCAAGTGTGTGATTTCCACAGAGGCCCCTCAGATGCTTCCAATCCTGGTGTGTTTTGGAGGGAGGGCATCATTTCCAGTATTGATTCAAATGACCTCCACATTAATCTTTGCAGGGGATTTTTTTTTTTTTTTTCCTCCAAGAGAACAGGCAATTTTAGCCACCGCATCATCCTGGGGGGAGAGGGACGTGGACAGCTTTGAAGGCACCCAGCTCAAAGCCCGAGTTATTCTCCCTGCTTTTCCCTCACCACCTCAGCAGCAAGAACACATAAATTGTGTGTCATAGCTGCCTTTTCATCTGTCCCAGGAGTTATAGACTGCACACATAAGACAATTCGTGTTCCTCTGCATAATGAGGTGAGTTTTATAAATCATAAATCTTCACTTAATATGCAGGTGGTGTTTGCTGCCAGGTTTAGGAAAACTGATGTAGTTGCCAAGTTCATGAATGTCATAAATCATTCATGCTAAGGTAGTCTGCAATTGCTCAGTCCTTTGAGACAGACCAATTTCAAGGTGGTTGTTTAACACACAAACACGATCTTCATTGATTGTTTATACAAATATATATTTTCATTAAGTTTTTCCCTCTCTATTTTTTTTCCTTCTTTAGGTGCCGAGAGTGATGCCCCAAAGAGTCCCTGCTAGTGGCTTCTCTCCAGTTTCAGAATTCCATCAGAAATCCATTACCAAATGCATAAAAATCCATGGATTTGTAATAAAATGAGCCCCCTAAAGCTCAGAAAATAGCCTGGCTGTCTCCATAAATCCTGATGCACGTGATTAAAGAAAACAGAGCAAGAGCGTGTCTCAATTCGTCACAGGGTCATTTTGGACATCCACTATTTTCTGCAAAATTGACATTAATTAAAGGTTTGCTGGTCTCAGCAGGGTTTTCATCGCTGCTGTAGCTGCTGTGTGTACCAGAGTAGGTAATGCACTTCCCATTGGGAATACCCCATGTGCTTCTGGATTTATTTGAGCCTACACACAGAGCTTGCTGGGTGCTCTGCAGCCCCCTGGGATGTGCAGGATTCTGTGGGAAGTCTCTTGGGAAAGCAGCTTTCCTAGGAGATGTGCAATTTTTAGCAGGGTGGAAAATTAGAGCTGTGTAAATCCTGCAGGTAGCTGGGAAGAGCCTTCCCCCAGTGCCAGTCCTGAGGGGCTGAGCATGGATCTGCCCAGGGCTGGGGGAGGGTCACCAAGCTCAGTCCTGGTGGGATATGCTCCTCTTGGTCTCACATCTCCCCAAATGCCCCTTTTTGTGCCTCACCTTCCCCTCCCACCACCTCCTGGGCTTTGCTCTTTGCTTTCTGGTTTTCTATGACAGCATTATTTCTAGGCTGGTCTAACAAGGGGAGTGCTCTGTCCTGTCTTGCAGTGTTCGGGGTCATCCAGGGCGGGCTGTCACCTCCACTGCAGAAGCAGGGGTGGGGTTATCAGCCTTTCACTTCCCACCTGATTTACATCTCAGAGACATACAAAAAACCAAGGCAACGGTGCTGCTGGACAGAGTAGTACATCAAAAAATGCTCAGGCTCAGGCTCGGACTCAACCAGCTCTTGAGAGGGTCTGATATTGAACTCCATATTAATTTTAAGTGGATCTGAGAAAACTGCGTAGGTGGGAAAAGGCAGAGAATTTTGACTGCTGTTCTGTCTTCCATCATCCTTTTCCAGCGTAATTAACTCATCACAAATAATTCAGGCACTGAGTTCTTCTCTTCATTTTCCCTGTGATCAGCCAACAAGTGCTGAAGTTTCTGAGTTTATTCCTTGTTTCAATTTACTCACTGAATCATTGTTGCTGTTAAGTCCCCAAAGGGAGGAGGAGGCTGTTCCTCAGCATCTCGCTGTGTGTGCCAGCCAGAGCTGGAGATCTGGGCCAGACTGGTTAGTTTTGGTCAGATCTGGAGTTTGCTCCTTTGATTTGATGAGCACAAAACCTAGAAAAGACTTTTAGGGGAAAGTATTACTTAAAATTTGACTTGCCACTAATGTGGCATTGGATTGGCTCCCAGCCTGCCCTGAGATTTCTGTGATGTCAGTGTTAGTCTTCCTAATTCTCCTCTGATTTTATGGTTCTCAGATGGGTGTAGCAGCCTGGTTTTCTTCCTGCCTGCAGACCACTTCTCCAGGATATGATTGAGAACTCAGCTCTGGGCATCAGCACAGCCAAAGGGAACACCCCCTCCATTCCAGCAGCTCCAGGGTTTCTACCTCCTTGTTGTGAGGCGCCTTTCAGAGAAGCATCATTCTCACTGGAGTGGCAGCTGATTCTTCCCACTAATCCAGAGCTGAGATAAAACCTCAGGGAAGCTGCAGAGCTGCAGGACCTTCACGGCCATAACTCTTCCCTCTGCAAGTATTTATGTTCTCGAGACTGATTAAGCTGGGTTTGTGCCATTCCTCACACTCCTTGAGGGACTCTCCTCCTGCAGAGGGTGACATCTCCTGGGAGCAGCAGTCAGGGATCTGGGATGTCAGGGAGTGAAAGCTGAGAGATCACCAGGAATGATCTGAGGTGAAACCTGGTGAGCAAAAATCTGAACTCGCCAAAATCCAGCAAAGTTATTCCCATGCCATCGGAGCTTTTGGGGTGGTTTCTCTAAGGATGTGTAGGGGGGACTTAAATCTTCCTTTGATTGTTCCTCCTGGTCATAAAGACAGGTAAGATATTTCTGTGGAAAACACCACTGCTGGATGTGTCACCTCTTACTCAGGATATCCCTCAGGGACAGGGCAGCAACAAAATGCAGCTAGAACTGGGTAAAAGGAGAGGAGAGAGAAGAAGAAAGTCAAATGAAAATAGGGAAGAGAAAAGCTGCAGGGTCCTGCTCCCTCAGGTCCCTGCTGCCAAGGCAGCACCTAGGCAGGCACAACAAACTGGCTGGGGCTGCCACATGGGATGTGATTAACAGAAAACTGTATTTTCCCCTAACACTTTGAGTTAAAGTCTCTTCCCATAGCCTGGAGAGCTGCTCACACTCAGAGGGGTATGTGGGGCTGCCCTGGGTGCTGGCTGGGGTGGGTGGCTCCAAGGGATGCTGCTGTGCCCAAAGGAGTGGAGGTGCCAGGGGTGGGCCAGCCCTGGGAGCCAGGCTGTGCCAGCCACAGGCAGCAGCGCTTCTCCCTTCCCTCTCATCCCTCTGTACACGTCCTACTTCTTCAAAGCTCCTGGCCACCCCAGCTCCCGACTTCCCTCTCCTTTCTCCAAAGTGTGACATTCCCACCATCTGTAAGGCTGCCAAACAAGCGATTTTGCATTTCCCTGCAGGGCTGTGCTTCAATTAAAAGCTTTTCTTGATGTTTTAACTTTCACCTCGCTTAATTGAGGTTCCCTTTCCCAGCCTCCTCCTCCTTTTTAATGAGAGGCTAAAATGCTGGTTAATAGTGTTTGCAACGGGCAGCACCAACTGTGCTTCAGAGGGCAAAGGCTGCTCCTGGCCTGGCTGAAAGTCATGGAGTCTGGAACAAAAGCCACTGGAAAAATATAGGATCCAGGCCACAGAGCCAGTGATCCTACCCTTTTACAAGCTCCTGGGCTTCCTCACTCAGCACTTCAGCTGCAGCACTGCTTCTTTCCTTGTTGGAAAAACAAGGGTCCAAGTGATGGAGCCCAGTTGGGCACAACCAGGTGCTGCTCAGCCTGAAGTTCCCCTTCTGGAGCATCACTGCAGCACTACCACCCCCAAATATTTTAGAAGCGTGGGCTGGGTTAAATGTAGTGAAATTAAAAAAAAAAAAAAAAAAAAAAAAAGGCTGTACAACCTCTTTAATTTGCCTACTAATTTATGAGCAGGTAAGCTGCTCCCCTGTCAAGCTTTTCTTCACCAAAAAAAAAGGTTAGAAACACTTAATAAAAAATACTGAGCACTTCAGAAATCCTACAAGTCCTTGTGCAGGGGTGGGGATGATTTTTTGTGAATTACTCATGTTTTAGAGAGGATAATGCATGTGAAACAAAGCACACCTTTATTTTACAGCCAGCCTAGGCTGTGTTCAGGAGGCTCCCATTAGGTACATTCAGAGCTGCTCAGTGGTGAAACCCAATCTTCTGAGGAAAGAAGGGACTGGAAGCTTCCAGGGAATTTCCCTCATGCTGCTGGGAGCTGGGGAGGAAGGCAGAGCCATCACTGAGCTCTGCAGGCTGGTTCCTCCCCAGCCTCTCCTGGCCCAGCCCTGCTGGTTCCTGCCAGTGCCCCCAGGTTGCTGGGAATGGAGCAGCTTTGGACTGGGGTGCACGGGAGTTTTGGAGGCTCATTGCAAAGGGTTTCCTAGATCCAAGGCTGATCCCTGCTGCAGGCACAGCCCCATCTTCCTGTGGCAGGTCCCCCAGCTCCTCCCCAGAGCGGCTGCACTCGCTGAGCCGCTCCCATCCAAGTGGTGCCAGATGTCCTTGAAACTCCGCCAAGGGAAGGGACAAATGTCTGCAAAATCACTCATTTCTCACTGTCCCGACCATTTTATTTCTCCTCTCATGCTTGTAAAAGCTGGGACCCTCCTCGCCAGCTCTGCAGCAGTTTGAAACCCGAGCTGCTGTGCTGGAACACTTCCACAACTTCAGGTGCAGCTTTTATTTCTGGCCTAGGAACAATGTAAGAATTTCTGGTCGTGGGTGCTTGGTCGTCTCTAAAAATCATTCCTTTGCAGCATTGCATTGCCTCACAGCGCCGTGGTGCGGGATTTGGGAGGGAAGAGCAGGAGCTGGAGCAGAAGGGCGGCTCGGAGCCCATGCTGGAGCCACGCAGATGGACGAGCAGACGCTGCCAGGGGGGAGCCACGGGCTGGCGGTGAGGAAAGAGGGGCCAGCAGGGCTGGGGGAGCACAGGAGCTGCAGCCAGGAGCAGGATTTCCCAGCCCCGAGGGCTCACAGTGCCCACAGGGATTTTGGCTCTTCGTGCCAGCGCAAAGCCAGGGGCACGCTGGCTGGAGGAGCCCGGCCCTGGCTCATCCGAGGTGCAGGAATGTCAGCACACTGCTCTGTTTCGGGTCAGTTCTGGAGGAGGTGCACACATATTTTTGTAGACAATAATTTCAGTTAACAGAGAGAAAGTCGGTTTTATTGGGGCATTTAGGAGGACGTCTGCCAGCATGAATAAATGAGTGCTCTTGCCCAGCTCTGGGGACAGGCTGGGCATGGGGCTGAGGGCACAACCTCAGTGGGCTCAATGGACCACATGCCCACCACCCTCTGCTCTGTGGGGGCTCAAAGCCTGGCCATCACCAGAGCCACTGAGAAAAATGCTGGTTTTACCTTTTACAGATCATTTAACGCCCTAATGAGATGCCTTAAAAATACAAACGAGCCACCTGATACGGCGGGATGCAAACCTGTCTCCATGGCAGTGATTTTCCTGAAGATGCTTTTCATCTCTGGCTGCTGGAAGCTTTGACGTAAAAATTTATCGTGCGCCCTCCTCTAATAAAATGTGATGGTTTTACTGTATTTTTTATATAAATGTACATTTACTTGTGAATTATACCAAGAGGCGGGCGCTGGCTTGTGGTCGAGCCTGCGACACTCGGCATTAATCACAGCTCCCTCTCAACTTCCCAGGACCACGGACTTGTGCCTAAGGGTGTGGGTAACTTCTGTTGACTTCAGTGAAAGTTTCTGGTGTGCTGCCGTGAGAGAATAGGCCCCCGGATGCTCATTTGGTGTTGATTAAAAGCAGGAGACTGATAGCAGCGGGCACACGGTGCAGCCAAGCGCTGCCGCTTCCCCCGTGCCACCGCCTCGCCTCAGAGCCCGGCCCTGCTGCTCCTGGGAGCCCCAGAGCTCTCTGAAATGCAGCTTGTTTCTGCCCCAGAAAATGCTTGTTTCGGCTGTAACAGCCCCAAACACGCCCACTGCCACCTCAGTGTCACCTCAGTGTCACCTCAGTGTCACCTCAGTGTCACCCCAGCTGCCCTGCGCTGGTCCCCGTGTGCCCACCACAGGCTGCTGGTTCTCGCTGCCTTCCCGGGAATTTTCCACCCTCTGCCTGACTTCCAGCAGCTCCTGGGGCTGCCTCAGCAGCTGTGCTGAGAGAGGGGAGAGGGGGCTCAGGGGGTCAGAGCTCCCAGTGCCACAGCAGTCCCTGCCAGTGTGTCCTGGGGGAGGCAGGGGCTCAGCAGAGCCCCCAAACCCGTGGCTGGTGCATCAGGAGATGGAGCAGCTGCCTTTGATGGAGCTGCACCATCAGCACGATCAGCCCAGCTCTCCGGGGAAAGGGCTGCGCCCGGGAGATGGGGAGATGACTGGTGATGGAGGAGTAGCAGATGGTGTCTCTCAAGGAGAACGCTGGGACAATAATTACAAGAGACAAGAGGAGAGCTGCTGGCTCACGCACAAGAATTTGTCCAAGCAATCATGGGAAGCACAAGTCTCTCCAGAGAGCGCCATGGGGGAGGAAGAGTTTTGCCAGCAGCTCCCAGTGCTGCTGCCAGACCCTCTCCACCTCTCCAAGGGGGCACAGACGTGTCTATGACTCCCTATTCCCAGAACAGCCGTGGCTTTCTGTGCTTTCTGTGCTTCAAACTCGCTTTTGCTTCTTCCCACTCTGCCTCGTCCATAGGGCATCCCAAACACCATCCTGCCTGTCCCAACTTCCCAACAGGTTTGAGGCCAAGACATGCCTTTGGTTCTTGTGTGGGAGCCGTGCCAGGAGGGATGGGTTGGGAGCATCACTGGTCAGGGAAGGAAAAGCAGAGCAGAGCTCCCAGCGTGCAAACGCTTTCTCTCCTTTTACCCAGCTGTGATTTTACGCCTTATTGCCCCTCTACCCCATGCCCTCATTTTCTCTACTCTACCACGACTCGCGGGTCCCCTCGGAGGAGTTCCGTGCCAGCCAGAGCGGTTCGGGGGGAGTTCAATCAGCGCTGCCATCTCTCGCTGTCCCTCCCCGCGCCCGTCGTGTCCCTGTCCCGGGAAGGAGAGGGTGAGGGAGGCTGTGCCAGCCCGGGCTGCTGCCCCGGCGGGGATCTCCTGCTTTCCGTCCCCGTTGATGCTTTAGCTCTGCAACGCAGCCTGAGCAGGAGCTGCAGGTGACAAGGAAATCGAGGCTAATTAGAGCTGCTAATTAGATCTCTGCTGAAAGCCCGGGCTGTGCTCCGGGATGGTCCCTCCGCTGCGGAGGGTTCCTCTGCCGGTGCCGCCCCATTGGCGCACACACAGGAGCCAAAAATAATAATAATTTGTAAAAAAGGCACTTGGCAAGGCTGAAGGGTTTCACGTCCTGCTGCCGCTGACTTGGGAGAGCCGCAGCCCCGGCACCGAGGGCACACAGCCAGGAATATCCAAGGGAGATCTATTGCACCTCCCAGTGATTCCGCTCAGGGAGCAGCTCCGGGGGTGGGGATGGATCCGGGCACGGTGGGAGAGCCCAGCGATCCCCTTCTCCAACACCAAAGTGGTCTGGAGGGAGCATCTGCCAGGGCACCCTCACCCTGGGGCTTGGCAGGGAGCAGAGGTGGGATTTCATCCCTGCACGCTTTTCCAAAGGGCTCTGCTCAGGCACCAAAACCTTCCCCATCTCCTTCGTGGCAGAGGAGCAGCAGTGCCCATGTCCCGGGAACAGCTCCTGGCAGCCGGCAGTGCCAGCTCCAGCTTTGTGCTCAACTTCCCTGCCCTGTTCCCACAGCAGCAAACCCTCAGATCATCCTCTGCTCCGGAAGGGCGCTCAGAACCTGCATCCATCCCCTTCTGGCACTGAGGGACTGCCCCCCTTCCTCCCCTCACAGCGGGGTTTAAATGAAACCCCCCAGGACTCCAAAGCACAGCCCGTGCCCAGCAGCGCTCCGGGGTGTGCCCGGTGTTGTGTGGACGTGGGGCTGTGCCACGGATCTGCTGAGGGCACGGGCAGAGCCACACACACACATTTGATTTGTTGCTGTCCCCACCAGGGCTGGTCTCCGTGTCCAGAACAGACACTCCCAGGGCGATTTCTGTGGTGATGAGGAGCTCTGTGTGGAGTTGGAGCTGTCAGGTGCAGTCACAGGATGGAGAGAAGGGATGCCAGAGATGGGACCACACAAACTTCAAAGCAACAAAGCAAAGGGCAAGGTCCTACAGCTGAGTCTGAGCAACCCCAAACACATACAGGGAACATCTCCTGCAACACCGGGTGTCTGATCAGGTTTTCCCACTTGGCTCAGCCCATGCATCATCTCCTTTGTTTTTCTGACTGAAAGTAAGCGCTGCATGTGAAACCCCACCTGCAGAGCTACCCCTGCCCTAGCCCTTCCTGGGCCCAGCACAGGAAGGATCTGGACCTGCTGGAGCCAGGCCAGAGGAGACACCAGGATGGGGATGATCAGAGGATTAGAACACCTCCCCTTTCAAAAACAGGCTGAGAAAGCTGGGGCTGTTCAGCCTGGAGAAGAGAAGGTTGTGTGGAGACCTCACAGCATCTTCCAGAGTCTGAAGGGGCTATAGGGAAGCCAGAGAGGGAATCTGCATCAGGAACTGGAGTGACAGAACAAGAGGGAATGGGTTAAAACTCAAGGGAAATTTAGATTAGATGACTGGAAGAAATTCTTCCTTGTGAGCTGTGGCTGCCCCTGGATCCCTGAAAGTGTCCAGTGCCAGGTTGGACAGGGCTTGGAGCAGCCTGGGACAGTGGAAGGTTTCCCTGCCCATGTCAGGGGGTGGAATGAGATTATCTTCAAGGTGCTTTTCAACGCAAACCATTTCATAATTTGAACACCTTTCGCCATTTCCATCAGCACCCCCAACCAGCAGGAGCAGGGCAGGCAGCACAGCCCTGATTTACTGCCACACTTAAACCTGTGCCTAACTTTAAGTGCACAAGTAGCTCCATTGACTCAGTGGTTTAAGGTTCGACATTTGTAAGTAAGTTGCAGAACAAGGACCTACATTATTCATCGGAAACCCTGGGTAATGCATTCTTAGAAAATAACTACCCAACTCCACAAATCCCTGCTGAAAGGACATCCTAAAGCCCTGCCTGGATAGAGAGATTAGCTGGGATTGCTTTGTAAGCACTGCACATACATGCATACAGATATATGTATTTCTCTACGAGGCACTGCAATTCAGACTTGCCACGATCCCAGCTCTGCCTGTGTGGGAGGAGATGGGAGAGGGGCCACAGCAGAGCAGCACAGCCCAGACCGTGCCAGGCAGCATCAGCTGTAACCACAGCCACAGCTCAGCCCTCTCATTGCAATATCAAGATGATATAATGCCATGTCGACTTAAGACATGAGCATAAAATGCTGCAAGCAGAGCATTTTATGTCCTTTATTCTGCTCCAGAGACCCCCCCAGGAGCAGCAGAGCCAGCCCTGCTCCAGCCCAGCAGAGTAAAGGCCAGCACCCTGGCCACAAAGCAGGGCTGGTGAGGCACAAAGCCAAAGCCCAACTTCAATTCCTGAAATCCCTTATCCTCCCAGGATGATGGGGAGTCCCCAGTGAACTGCTCCCACCTCCTCAGCATCCCCTGCCTCAGGAGGATGGCTGTGCCACCTCAGAGCATGCATTAAACTCCCCTCTTGCCACAGGATAGGGAATACATTCCCTCCAGGATGGATATTGGGTGTCTGGGAGGGAAAGCAGCTATGCCATGGCAGGATGCACCCCATCCCATTTGTGAGGAACAGAGCAGGGCACCCACGTTTGCAAGGACAGGCAGGAAGCAGACAAGGTTCTCCAGGCTGGCAGGAGCCACCCAAGGTTTTCCAGCTGTGAGGAGCAGCCCAGCATGAGCAGGGCCAGCCCTGTGCACGCCTCGCTGCCGGGGGCCAGGAGCTGCCTGGGAAAATGAGCTGAAACAACACGGGTTTGAGCCATTTCATAAAATGTAATAGAGAAGTAGATCCCTGTTGTACAATTCCAGCTGATAGCTGGAAAAAATAAAAAACCCAGAAGTCTGTTGAAAGGATCTCATTCTGCATTCAGCCTGATGAGCAGCAGGAGAAATCCCTGCCATAGCCACACATTTTGTGTGCCATCCCATGGGATATGCCGTGCACTGTGCACCTTTCCCGTGCACTGTGCCATGTCTGTGCACGTGGGTGGCCCAGAGGTGCAGGGATGGGGTGTCTGTGCCTATCCCTGTGCCTGTCCCTGCCAAAAAACCGGGAGCAGCTGGTGGAAGAGGGCCACAAGTGGGATGGATCCATGTTCCTCACCGTGCTGCTGCTGGTGAGATTCCATCAGTGGGAAGCAGGGAAAGCCAAATGTTATGGATCCCTCAACCACTGTTATTTGTCCCCTTGTGCATCGCTGGTATTTTGCATTAAAATATATGTTGTTAAATTTATGCCTTAATATATATATAGATGTATAATATGACTGAGTTACAGTTGCTGTGGGAACTATAACTTTCTCTTTTCCAAGGGGCTGTTATGTGTCTTATTATGCTGTATCATCTGGAGGGTGGCTGGGAACAAGATTGCTGCTGTTAATCCTTCAGCAGGGAGGGTGATCAGAGGCAGCCGAGCC